TTTTAAAAAATCAATTAAAAAAATTAAAAATAAGATAGGGAAAAAACTAAAATTAAATGAAACTTTAAAAAATAAATAATAAAATTATCATAACATTAAACTTTTTTTTAAAAAGGGGTGCTACCTTAACAAGAGATCTAGCTCCAACTCTAAGAGGGGGAAAAGATCAAAGCAGGAAAAAAAATCAAGGCATCTTGATTACCTATTGAAAAGGAATTGAAATTCTGCAAGTAGTCTTAAAATGAAATCAGACCTGCCCACTCTCCATCTAGGATTAAACAAAATAACATCAGGTATAGATATATAAGCAAGTATATATACATTCAAACAAAGTGGAGAACATTATAATTTTTTTTACATGTATAATATTATTTCCCCATCCCATTTTTCAAGGTGACAATAAAAAATTTTGATTTGTCTTTAAATTTATAGACAATCAACAAAGGGTGCCTATTCCAAGTCTTGATCTGGTTCCTTCAGGGGCCTTTTCTTATAACTTGGGAAAGAGCCTGATTTGAGGGTTTTTTTTTTGCTCAGTCTTGCAGAAGGTTTTTATCTTTACAAGGCTATTTGGGTCAACAACACCTCACTGTCCTTAAACTTTCTGACATTCATAGTCTTTCACTATTTTCTGTTCAATCACTTCTCATTGGTATTTGGGATACTGAAGACAAGAGTATCACTTACGTAGCTCTTTCCTTGGAACAGTCATTTCTCTTTGATAAGTGAGCTCCATCTTTACCTGGGCTTGACTGCAAACAAGTGCCTCATTTTCCAAAACAGCTGAATATCCCACCCTAGACTCTTTTGTTCATATATGTTCTAAATCCCTGAAGAACATCCTTAGCAAAGGAATTTAGGCTTTTCCATGCTGACAGTAATAATACTGTCATAAATAAACAGTAATAATTTGGAGTGAGGTCACATTCCACAATAAAGTACTTGTTTGAAGTCCCTGCCTTTATAGAAGAACTCATATAGGGATATGTGAGTAGATATATAGGAGAAGCTGAGTATACGTGACCTCTACCAGAACTTATATAACAAAAAGTATAGGTGGCTGAGTTGATCCAACTTGAACAGATTAAGTTGTCTTGGGCAATAAACATTTCAGAGGAGACAAGAGCCCTCTAAAACTAGTGAAGTGCACAAGACTATAGAAAGCTAAGGAGAGAGGAATCCTTAACAAATATAACAGCTTTCTGTCAAACAAATGGCTGATTTCCTATTAGATGATAGAAATACTGAATTTGATTTATGCCAAATAAAGCTGATATTCTTTGTCTTGAAAACACAAAATTCAATTTTGGGTGGTGGTTACACACATATATAGGATGATGTGTACTATTTTAAAAGCATGAAGATGATGACACAGTTTGGTCTACTTTTAATCATCATTTTTGTTTTGAATTTTATACATTAAAGGATAGCATGACTTTTTAAGGATTTATCAAAAAGGAGCACAGATCAAAAGTAATATTATTACATACAAAATGCCTTACTTTAGCCCATTCATGGTACTAAGAATGTCTGTTTTGACATAAGTATGAAAATAATCTGTTAAACATAAAATGACTTCTCCAGTAACTTAGGGCTGGAAAAATCCAGAAATCAGTATCTACTATTCAACACAGATTCAATACCTCAGCCTCTGTAAATCAGAAACACTGGAGAAAAAGTTGTCAGTTGAAAGAGGACCCTTAGCAAAACTGAAAAAGAGAAAGTTACTCAAGATGTCTTCTAACATTCTTTCTTCTTTATATATCACCTCTTTTTTCTCTACCAAAAACTTGGTTGGAAAATAATCTCATATGATTAATTAAAGTCAGAATATAAAACCTAAGAATAAGTGTTCCTTCTCTTAGGGGCACACACAATTTAAATCTTCTCTATCAATGGAGAGTGAAAGGCCTGATTTTGAATTGAGTTTGGATTCCAGCACTGCTACTGAATATAAAACCTAAGAATAAGTGTTCCTTCTCTTAGGAGCACACACAATTTAAATCTTCTCTATCAATGGAGAGTGAAAGGCCTAATTTAGAATTGAGTTTGGATTCCAGTTACTGTTACTGTTTTCTATGTGGTTTGTGTTCCAATTAATCTCCATTGGTCTGTTTTCTGACCCACAAAGCGCGGGTAATCAACATTTATCTTTATAGAAGAGCTACATGGATTAAAGTAATTCAACAATTTTTTACTGAATGCCTACGGATTTAATTAAGCATTGTTGTACATGATGGGGATATAGGAGGGATATCAACATAGACAGAGTCCTTGAACTCACAGAGCTTATATGCTAACTGGAGAAAAGGAAACATAATAAACAAATACATAATATCAGAAGGAACAAGTGCTACAGCAAAAGATCAAATATAATGGAAGTGGTGGGAAACACAGGAAAACTAGGGAGGCTGGGATTTGTCATGCAAAAGCCCCTCTTAAAGGTGACACTGGAGAAGAGACTTGAAGGAGTAATGAAATGAGTCGTGAATTTTCAGCAGTAGGGAGCATATGAATGCTGGAAGAAGGAAGAGCAAATGCAAAACTTTGTGGAAGGAGCAGGCTTAGAGTATTTGAGTAAAGAGTGACAGATGATGGCTTTGAAAGTTATGCTGTAGACAAAGTAGTTTCATAGTTTTTAATTTTATTTTATTGCTTTTATTTAGCAAGCTGGGAATCACTGATGGATTTTAAGCAAAGAATTAACATACTCTGGGGGAAGTTGAGGTTCTTGTAAACATAAGGAGACATTTTTAGGAGTATGCTGTCTATAACTTTGAGCTAATCACACTGTGTCTGGAATACCTCATTCACTTCTAAAATGCTCATTTTAAGAAGAACAGACAGTAATAGCCAAGGGGAGTTGTTAGCACTCTTGAGTTTTTTCAAGTCATGCCTTGTGCTGGACATCAGCTGTGCCAATTCATTTCTCCTCTAGGAAGGGGAACATCCTGGCTTTCCTTAGGTGTTCCCTTTCCACAGGTGATGAGACTTAGAAGGGTTTCTAGAATGTCTAACCAAGAATCTGCTGAACTCTGACTCCAGTGACCACGTCTGTTCCACTATACACAGCTGTTCTGGAGATGTTTACTAATAAAAACAGGGCATGAGAGGAATGTGATATCTGTCCTCATATGTATCAGGGACTATGGTGTGGGCTGGGGTTAGACTTTATCCTGGATGTCTGGACAGAACAAAAATGGAAACAGGAGAGTTCAATTACAGAAGTAGATTTCTATTCTTTGTGAGAAAAATCGGACCCACATTTAGACAGTCTGCTTTTGAATAGCAGCACATTGGTATGGTCTAAGTTCTCCCTCTTCTTCCTCACTCTATACATCCTTTACTGTAGAGGATGTTAGAGAAAGAGAGCTGAAGTGCAACAGTTACTCCAGGTGACCTATGGGCTGGCCAAAAGTAGAATGGGAAGATATTAGGTTCCCATTCAGTAAAGAGAGAAAGTAAGTATTAGATTCATTATACCTTTGTCATGGAAAACCTCCCCAGTGCAAGCTCTGAGTGGTCATAAGTGCCACCAGCCCTGTCAACTAGGATAAACATATTATATCATGTAGTAAAGATCAAGGTTTTTGGGGTCTCATTTTCCAAGTCACAATCCTGACACTATGATTTGCTTGTTGCATAATGCAGGACAATTTACTTAGTTTTTCTGTGCTATGATTTCCTCATCTTATATGTAAGGATAATTGTAGTTACTACTTCTTGATTTTGCATTAAAAAAACTGTAAGCACATGAACGCACAGAAAGAAGAAAGAAAGAGCAGAGGGAAAAAACGGTTCAAGGAAGTTCAGAAAGTTAGGGTGAAGGCAGGGTATTATTCTTGTGTTTTATAATTATTTACTCCAACTTACAACTCAAAGTTTATTTCCCTCTGTACTGAACAGTTAAGTCAGGGACACATGAGAATTCTTTCTTAGTAACCAATATATAGAATAAGTGTCCTCTGGATTTTTTCCACTGCCAGAATGGAGAAAAAAATGTGAATGGAGATAATATTCAAAATAGTTAATTACTGACTTACCAGCATTAGAAAGGAATGTCAAGACTTCTTAAAGTATATAATCTCATCTTAACTGAAAGCTTTTCTATTCTGATTATATTGAACTATTTGTATTTTCTTCAGAGACTCAAACATTTTTTCACTAATCAGTTTTACTAATTGGCTAGTATAGGCTGTGTGTGTGTGTGCGTATGCGTGCCCACACACCCATGTGTATGTATGTATTCTCCACCCCATACCCCCCGTGCAGGGGAATGAATGAACCCAGGCCTTGTGCATGCTAAAAATGCATTCTACTACTGAGCTACAACCCCAGTCCCATAAATATCTCTCTGCAAAGTTTTTAGTCTCTATGGGTTGTATTTTCTGCTCTAGCACATGTATGTATACTTCACATGAACAGCTGAACTGGGGACACATCAAAACCTAAAGCTTCACAACGGGTACTATAAACTGCCTTGATGAGGATTCTACTTTTAGTCTGACCTCTAAGCTCGACTCTAACTCCAGCTCCAGGATATGTTTGGATCTCTGGGTTCTAGGGTTGACCTTGGCCCAACTTCATTTCCCTATTTCTACCCATAAAATATGGTGTTTTCTGTTACATTAAAACATGTACCAAGACTGGGGTTGTGGCTCAGTGGTAGCACTTGCCTTATATATGTGAGGCACTGGGCTTGATCTTTAGCACTACATAAAAATAAATAAATAAAATAATGGTTAAAACAAAATATGTACCACAGAAAGAAGATAATGAGAAAGACCGAGAAAAAAGCAATAAAATTTGAGTTAAAAGATGGGACAGGGGAGTAGTCTATAATTTTTTATGTTGGGCTGGGGCTTTCATGTTGTTTCCTTTTACATACTACTAGTCTCAGGAAGTTGTCTATATTAACATATATTCCTAGTGTTTAAGAGTACATATTTACACATATAGCAATACATATTGCTAAAAATGGATGAACACTTCATACTGACCTTCGGGGGTTTAAACGGATAGTCTGGTGAAAAGGTAATGTCAAGAAAGAACACCCCTCCTTCATAGACAGATCCAGGGGGTCCCAATATAGTTGACCTCCACTCATAAATGTTGTCTCCTTTGGGTCCAGCACTGAAATAAGATACAAATAAAATGCACTTAGAAATTACATTGTCTAGAAATTTAAAAATCTATTTACGGTAACAATATATTGAGAAATTCCATAAAAAACAAAGTTAATAAGTTAATTCTCTGTTATGATTAATGTCAATATCATCATTTTCTCTAAGTGAAATATGTTGGTATTACTTAAATAGAACCAAGAAGATTCTGTTCTGTTACTCACAACCTTAAGCCTGTTAGAACAAAAGATTCCAAGGTCCATAGGCCAGAGGTAGGAACACAAACTGGTTAAGCATGAAATTATTTGTAAAGTCTTTGAAAAGGGGGACACAGTCCTGAGGTCAAAGAGACAAAATTTCCAACCCAGAAAGGCCACTGGAGAACAAAGTCTAAGGCCTTTGCTAATAACTGGTTCATGAAGACATTCATGGCCACCTTTCAGGAGATTGAGATCATATGCAATTGGGAACTTGTTCTTCCCTTTTCTCTACCCTAAGGACTCCTTGGCACCCTACCTTCTCCCCATACATCATGACCAGTGTAGACTATAGAGGATAAGATAAATCATTTTGTTTCAAGACATAAATAAACTATTACCTCTGCCCCTCCCAGAATAGAAATTCCTTAAGGAATAGACTTTGCTTTGTCCTTAGTTTCTAATAAATAAATGTTTGTTGGATAATGACAGGTTAATAGTAAAGCAAGTGAAGTCACATGGCTAGTTGCCAACATGTCTCTGAGTCTCAAAGAAATTCAGTGAGAAAGATAAGGCCCACATGAATCAAGTAATTTTATTAGTTCTCTCAGGTGAAGAGAAGGACAAAATGAGATTAAAATGTAACTTTGTAGGGATTGGAGGCATAGCTCAATGGTATAGCACTGGCCCAGCATGCAGAAGGCCCTGGGTTTGGTCCCCAGCACCTTAAAAAAACAACTAATTTAATTTTCCAGTGTTCCTTCTTCTTCATCAGCTACTACCTACATTAATATCTGGAGATTCTCACACCCTGTAGTAAAGTGGACCACCTTATAAAGATACTCTGAAAAGACCTTATTTGCAACAAAGATACATAACTTCTTTTCTCTCTCGGTTTAAAATTAGTTCGTATCTACAAAAATGATGTCATTGTTGAGCAGCATATGAAAAGAATTATCACAACTAAGTTCAAATTATTTCAGAAATGTTTAAGAATGGGTTAATAACAGAAACTTATCAATGCAATTCATCTCACTAACAGATAAAAGTAGAAAATAAAATGGTAACATTGGTGGATCAAAAGTTCTTATTAGCCATTCATGATTTAAAAAGTAAAAGCAAAATTTTAAAATCCTCTTTACAAAGTTTCAAATTTATTTAGCCTGATAAAGAACATGTACCAAAACTTCACAGCAACTATTACAGTCAATACTATAATTTGATGGTACTGGGAATTGAACCCAGGGGTACTCTACCACTGAGCTACATCCCCAGCCCTTTTTATTTTTTATTTTGAGACAGAGTCTCTTTTATGGTTTAGATATCAGGTGTCCACCAAAAGTTCATGTGTGAGATAATGCAAGAAGGTTTATAGGTGAAATTATTGTCAGTGTATTAATCCCCTGATAGGAATTAACTTGGTGGTAAAGGTAGGCAGGTAGGATGTGGCTGGAGTACAGCATCCCTGAGGGCATGACTTTGGGGGTATATATTTTGTTCTTGTAGAGAAGAACTCTCTCTGCTTCCTGGGTGTTATGTTTCCAGCTGCTTTCCCCTGTCACACCCTTTCACCATGATGCTCTGCCTCACCTTGTGCCCCAAGGAATGGAACCAACTGCCTATGGACTGAGATCTCTGAAACCTTGAGCCCCAGAATCAACTTTTTCTCCTCTCATTGTACTTGTCAGGTCTTTTGGTCACAGCAACAAAAAAGATGACTAAAACTGTCTAAGCTGGCCCTGAACTTGAGATCCTCCTGCCTCAGCCTCCTAAATCACTGAGATTTTATAGGCATGTGCCTATAGGCATGTCCTCTGATGATGGTAAAATATTTAAAGTGCTCACTCTACATTGAGGAATAAGACAATGATGCCTCCTATCCTCTCCTCTAATATGAACTGTACTAGCTATCACAGTCATTGAAATATGAAGCACACAGGAAATTCATATGGACTGGGATGAAAGAACAAAAATGTTAGTATTTACAATATTTATGTTTGCAGGAAAAAAAATCTCCAACATAAAAATATAGTTTACCAAACTTCATAAAAGATTTCAATAAAGTGGCTATATGTAAGATCAATATCCAAATATCAACTTCATTTCAATACACCAACTAAATTGGAAAAAATATATACATTTAAAAATTTTTTTTTAGTTGTAAATGGACACAATACCTTTATTTTATTTGTTTATTTATTTATTTTTATGCGGTACCAGGGATTGAACCCAGTGCCTCACGCATGCTAGGCAAGTGCTCTACCACTGAATCGCAACCCCAGACCCTGGAAAATATATTTTTAAATGAGTAATAATAGTATTAAAAACACAAAGAACCTATGATTAAATTTCATGAAAATATGTTAATCTTTATAGAGAAAAATATATAGCTTATTTAAATAAACACAAGATATTTAAATAAGAGGAGAGATATCAGGTTCCTGGACGAAGGGGAATACTCAGTGTCCTATAGATGCTAATTTTCTCCAAATTATCCATTACAATTCCAATAAAAAGCTTAACAGCAGTTAATAAAAAAAAAATCCAACCATTTTTAAAAAAATGAAAAAGGGCAAATTGATTCTAAAATTTGTTTGGAAGTTCAAAAAAATTCCTCAAACTTTCCCACACATATATATGAAAATATAATAGGGCTGGGAAAATAGTTTTTCATTTGTAAAATAGAGGAAATGCATTTCTGGCTTCAATAGACAAACAAAAATCTGTTTCTTGTACATGGATTAGACACTTAAAGGCAAAAGTCAAAATTTTAGAATTTGAGTGAAGACAGTGACAGGGTTGAGAAACAATATTTAGAATGTTTTTAAAAAACTGAGAAACAATACTTGGATCACACAAAACTGAACAATTTTTGTGTTCAGAATGTATAAATTCTTATGATAAGAAAAAGACTAGTAATCCGTTAGAAATGAATAGACATTTCCAAAAAGAAGAAACATGAATGAAATGTTCAATTCATCAAAATCAGGGAAGTGAGGTTTAAAATCCAACTTAATAATATCATTTTATAAAGTATACAGGCAAAAATAAATGTCTAACAAAACCAAGTATTAATGAAGTTGTGGGAAAACAGAACTCCTGTACACTGCTGATGAGCATGTTTAATCACTTTGGACAAGAATGTGGGTTTATCTTCATAAAAAAAATAGTAAAATTTTGTCATTTGCAGTAATATAAATGGGGAATAAAGGACATTATGTTAAATGAAGTAAGTCAGGCACAGAAAAACACAAACTGCAAGTTCTCGCTTACATGTGGAAGCTAAAAACTTGATCTCACTGAAGTAGAGAATAGAATAGTGGTCACCAGAACCTAAGAAGGGAGTGGAGAGAAAATGGTTAATGGCTAAAGAACTGCAATTGGCAGGAGAAATAACTTTTAATGTCCTATTGCACAGTAGAATAACCACGGTTGACAACAATTAATTGAATATTTTGAAGTAGTAGAAGAGAATTCTGAATGGTCCCTACAAAAAGAAATGACAATTGTCTGAAATGACAGATATGCAAATTATCTTGATCTGATCATAACACATAACATAAACGTTCTTTATATATGTTGAATTTTTATATAAAGAAAAAGTGTGTTCAAAAAGTTCAAAAAAAATGCTGTGTGAAAAAAGCAAGTTACAGCATATGTACAGTATGATCCTACTATATAAATTAAAAGTAAACCCACGGCTGGAGATGTAACTCATGGTAAGAGCATCTGCCTAGTATGAGTAAGATACTGGGGTTTGATCCTCAACACTACAAACTAAAAAAAAACAAACAAAAATCCCCAGATCCTCACTGCCTTACTGTATAAATATATGGATTATGAATAAATATCTATGTCAAAAGTCTTATAAGAAATGGACCGGAATCCAGGTATGGTGGTGCATGCCTATAATCCCAGTGGTTTGGGAGGCTGAGGCAAAAGGATCACAAATTCAAGGCCAGCCTCAGCAATTTAGTGAGATCCTGCCTCAAAATAAAAAATAAAAAAGCTTAGTGGTTAAGTACCCCTGAGTTCAACCTCTAATTGCGGGGGGGGGGGGGGGGGGGGGAGACTGGAAACAAAGTTAAACTTAAAGTAGTAACAATGATTGTACAAAGAACAAGGGGTAGTGTGGAGGAAGAAGACGAAGGGAAAAAAGATTTAGAGATGAAATGAAGCAGAGTTCAATTTTATTTCAATTGTTTATTTCTCTTATATAAAACAGATAAGAATAAAATCAAATCAAAGTTATCCTAACTTACTCCAATGGGCTGAAATACACTGCAAACCAATGGGGCAAGTGACCAGAACACAGCATTTCTGCCTGCTGTTCCTCCTTACCTACTTCTCCTGAAGTTGGCAACCAGGCATAAGCGGAATATATTCAGCTTAGATGACAATGAAGCTTTGGTAACAGCAGCTTCTTGTTGCCAGACAAGTTTGCTCATTCAGATGAATAAACACAAGCTTAAACCCTGAGCTATAATTAGACCCAATATAGATAGATAAGTTTATCAGAAGGAAGAGCTTAAAAGTAAAGTATAGGTTTATAGTTACAACATTACCTCAGTGTAGATGGAGAAATTTAGTTAAAAACATACACACAGAATGCACAGCTATGAAACAGTATGAACAAAACACATTTCTCAAACACCAAGATATAATTTCCCCAAGTCACTTTGAGCAATTAAAGATGATCTTTCAAATATGATAACCACAGTTAGTTGTAGAATGTAGATTAAATAAGGAGTTACTTAATAGTGTAGGTCAAGGAAGGGGCCCGAAAGTAGGAGACAGGAGATGCCTCAAAACC